AACTCTGTTCAAACAGCAGTTTTGCCGTGGCTTGTTGTGCATGAAGGCCACAGAAGCTCAGCTGTGCCAATCATTCACCTCGCCACAATCTCTTTTAATTTTAAAGGCTTGAGTTTTCCACGTGTAGCTAGCCCAAAACACACAGTCACAGTACAAACATCGAAGTGATGTTTTAAGGGCCACAAGAAAGAACAGTTCATTTACAGAGGAAATACACAGGATGGGGCGTACTTGGTATAATATAGGGTTATAGGATCAAGGATCAAGGATTCCATGTATGAGATTAAGATGACAAACAATTATTTCTGTTGTTGAACCTGTTTACATGACAGTCATGCAGTGGAGAATGTACGTGAAACAGTACATGAGAAATCACAAAAACCTCACTTTCATAAATGCAGTACAGAGAAGGGCTTTTACGCATGCTCAGAAACGAGTAGGTCTTAGATCTAAACTGCTTGAAAGTTGAAAATTAAATAAACTGGTTCGGCACCTGTGGCTCAAGTGGCTAAGGCACCAGCCACATACATCTAAGGTGACAGGTTCAAATGTGACCTGGACCCGCCAAACAACAATGATGACTGCAACCAAAAAAAATAGCCAGGCGTTGTGGCAGGCGCCTGTGGTCCCAGCTACTTGAATAGGTCTTAGATCTAAACTGTTCTTCTTGAACTATGACATTCAGGTCATTGACGCCAAGAAGCAGCTGCTACAGCAAGACCAGTCTGTCCTAAGATCTTGCGGATGACCACCAGAGGCAAGCCCCTTTGTCGTGCTCTCTTGTTTTAATAACTCCTCCCCCTACTATAAATAAACAAACACACACCAAGAAAACATACCAAACACTGTAATTATAGTATGGAGAGCAGGTCTTTTTGACGCTAAGAAATAAAAGCAATCAACTAATTTTCAGTAATTCTGGATCCTTTCAGTCCTGCATTTTCAGTCAGATTTCCATCCATCAGACCCCCCAACCCCTGAATTCATTCAATTCCCACACACTTCTCTTGGATTTGCAGTGCCCTTCTGATTGATGTTGCATTAGCAGATATAAATCATTTTCTGGGTAAGGCAGGGAGTTGAAAATTAAATAAACTAGCTCAGCACCTGTGACTCAAGTGGCTAAGGCGCCAGCCACATACATCTAAGGTGGCGGGTTCAAATCTGACCAGGGCCTGCCAAACAACAATGATGGCTGCAACCAAAAACAATAGCCAGGCATTGTGATGGGTGCCTGTGGTCCCAGCTACTTGGGAGGTGGAGGCAGGAGACTCACTTGAGCCCAGGAGTTGGAGGTTGCTGTGAGCTGTGATGCCACGGCACTCTACCCAGGGGGACAGCTTGAGGCTCTGTCTCAAAAAAATAAAAAATAAAAATAAAAGAAAATTAAATGAACAAGTACGTATCACTTAGAGTAGGTCACCCCAAAAATGTGAAAGAATTTTTTGTAGATCCAACTTCCCAGCAGAAACAACCTAAACAAGAACTCCTAGGGAAGTATTTCATGGCACCAAAGCATTTGCAAAGCCAACATGTTCTGTATTTTCATAGGATTGGTTGAGAAATCTTTCTAAATATGTCACATTGAAAATAGGGGTCTCATATACTTGAAGCAGATGGCTGTTTAGCTTCCAATCTGGGGTGAATAGTTTTAAGACAAGCCACCACTCTTTCTAACATTCTTTTCTCATTCACCCTCTGCACAACTTGTTATATTGAGTTGTATGAATACAAGACTCATTAGATCTTAAGAGTCTGGGGGGAACATGGCTGGCTCTCCCATCTCCACATTACAAAAAATAAGTGAGAGAGAACTTACCTGAAATGTCGTTTTGCCCTAGTAGACAAAAGAGTTTGCCAAATGGAGGCTTTTATTCCAAGTACTACCTCCTTACAAACCCATGTCAAAGTAGAAGAGGAGCCTCAGCATTATTTCCAGTTATAAAATACTGACTTAATTTTTGCTTTTGATTTTCTCCTTTTCAAAATATCAATTCCCAAACTCTTAAAGCATTTGCTGATACAGAGTTGATCTCAGGTGCCTGCTAGTCTTCAAGCTTAATTTCTGTATTCTTGTCCTGAGGAGTGCAATCATTATTTAGTAAGAACCCATCCTCCCCTCAGGAAAGAGAGAGAGAGAATGAATTTATTATTCAGACTTTAGCAGTACGTCAAAAAATTCCAATTGATTATGTAACGATTAAATATACACAAAGAGGGTTCAATGGGTGTGATTCTCTCCCTTTCAGCATGAGTCTCACTTGCCTCTTCTCTGTCCTCAGATGCAGTGTTCAGACCCATTTGTTATCTCCACAAGGGGGAAAATGGTACAGTGCCCAGTTGATGCATTTTCTGAGTCATTTAACCCAGATTTCTCTATTCTGGTTTTTGTTGGGAAAAAAGTTTTCTGTATATTGGCAGCTGAGGGAGGCCATCAGCCAGGATCCTTCTTATCAATTCTTTAATGTTGCTAACTGCTGAATTAAACATTTTAAAAGTGGGTTTTTGCTATGTTATAAAATCAATTCATTTAGCACCGAATCCCATGAACATGTAAGATGTGCGTACTTCCCAGTGGTTGTAATCTGAGGACTTTATTTAAATTGTCCTTTGAATCTACAGTAATTTGGTGTTGGGGAGGAATAGGATCTTTATCCACAAAGGGCTGCCAGAGCCCCAGCTGCTTCCTGAGTAGCTGTAATAGATGAATAATGTTACAACCACCCGCGCATTTCGGGTTTTGCTCAAATGGCTTTTCAGTTAATGCTGGTGGCATTCCACATCCACATGTTCATCTCCAGCACAGTAGTTTCCATCTGACTTTCATTACCTTTCTTGAGAGGATCAGTTTTACAACTGGAATCAGAAAAGCAGTCAAAGTAATTGCAAGTGGCAATCAGTGAAATATAACATTTTTAGCTGAGGATCGTATGTTCCACTATGAGAAAAAAGTTGTTGTTTTTTTTTCCTGTAAGTCCAAGACTCAGATTTTCCCAGGACTAAAAGGGGCCATGCTCATGTTCTAGTGCCACCTTCCATATCACGCTGCTATCCCTATCAAGTGCCTGTTCCCTCCCAGGGATAGGCAATGCATTCCCTCCCGTGAAAACCTATTTCCTTTTTGATTCAGAGTATTCAAAAATGCTTTCTTATGTTGGAGATGAAGTTTATCTCTCTATAGTTACATCCTTCAGAATTGAAAACTCAGGACTGAACAGAGTAAATCTAAACCTCTCTTCAGACACACAAGACGGCTTTTATCCCCAGCTTCTGCCCTTTCCTTCACTAGACTATAATATGTATTCCTTTCTCATATGGGATAGCTTGGATTTCCTAAATTGCTCTAGCCACTTTCCTTGGAAGAAGCTTCTATTTGCTTATCTACCTCCTAATGCCATCTAGCTGATGGAAAATTAGACTTTTAATCAGAATATCTGCATTAAATAATATCTCTGCTACTTAATGTTGGAACTGGGGAAAATAATTTTTTTTTTGTCATGAGGGCTAGCAAAGGTGAATAAAAGAGAGACATTGTCCTGTGATCAAAACAGGCAATAAGCAAATGAACAAACAAATATATGATTCCTTGTAGTAAATAATATAAAGAGTTGCCAAGGGAGTTTTGAAGATCCAGGGTAATCAGGGGCAGGCCTTCTGAGAAGGCCAAGTGCTCGATGATAGGAGAGAGACAAGACAGAATATGTACTCAGATGTGGATTATGCTAATGTGAGAGAGACGTGTTTTCTTCCAAGTGCAACAGGCTAATATCTACAGTTTAGATGGCAAGGAGATGAGTGGAATGACATGAACCTGAGAACTCCAAGCTTTATATGCAATGTTGAGAGTTCAGATTTTATTTGAAGTACAAGAGAAGTTGTTATTTGAAGGAGAGAAGTCACAATGTCTAAAATATATTTTTAAAAATTGCTCTCAGATTGGAGAGGACAAAGGTTTAAGTGGGACAGCCAATTAGGAGGTACCTGTTCTAATCTAAGGAGAGATTCATTCACTACGTACAATAACCCCTGAGCTTTTAATGAGAAGCACTGTCCTACCAAGGTTAAGGCATAGATCTAGCAGATGTGAGGCCCGTGATTACCCTTGGCTAAACCTCTTCTCACCTCAGTTTTCTCCTTTGTGAAAGGGTAATTCTGGGAGGATTCACTTCAGAGACTTGTGAGGACTACATGAGTTTATCTATGAGTTTCCCATTAGCTGGATCTGAAAAGGATTTTTCACTATTGCAACATGGTCCACTCTATATTGCACTCTAAGGTTCTTCAATTTTTTATTTCATTTTTGTCTAAGAATAGGGAAGAACATGAATGAAAAAATGTTAAAGGATTGTTTATCGTCCCTTGCAAACTTTTTTTTTTTTTTTGCTGGTGCAATAGTGAAAATAGCCTGTGAAAGAAAAGGCCTTCTATGGACCATCTATTATATTTCTCTTTCTTTGTTTGTATTCTACAGACCGGACACATATCCCTAATATGAAGACCTTTTTTGTATACTTTCTTTTTTTCAAGACAGAGTCTGATTCTTTTTCCCAACCTAGAGTGCTGTGGCATCAGCCTAGCTCAGTGCAGCCTCAAACTCCTGGACTCAAGCAGTCCTCCTATCTCAGCCTCATGAGTAGCTGGGACTGCAGGTGCCTACTGTAACACCTGGCTATATATTTTTTTTATTTTTAGTAGAGACAGGGTCACTCTTGCTTAGGCTGATCTCAAACTTCCGAGCTCAAGGGATCCTCCCGCCTTGGCCTCCCAGAGTGCTAGGATTACAGGTTTAGGCGACCTTGGCTAGTCTTTTGTACACAGTTTTTTACATGATAGTCCCAAATGGACCTTTTCTTAGTCTTTCTTAAAACCCAACCTCCAATATATTGTGACTCCTCTCGAATAGGGTGGAACAATAATGTCGAACTGCTATTAGGTAAAGTCCCAGGTTGTTTCCCCTTGTGATATATTCATGTGTTTGAGTAACATTCCTTGTTCCACAGGCATCCCAGGAAGTGACTATGTGAATGCCAACTACATAGATGGTTATAGGAAACAAAATGCCTATATTGCAACACAGGGATCTCTCCCCGAAACATTTGGGGACTTTTGGAGAATGATATGGGAGCAACGGAGTGCCACAGTTGTCATGATGACAAAACTAGAAGAAAGATCCAGGGTAAGAATAAATATCTAATTCTTTCCTTTTAAAAATCTTCCTTCTGAGTCTGTTTTGCATATTTTATTCTTTTCGAATCTAACCCTTCCCTAAGGTTTGACTTTCTAACAGATACTAATTGTGAATGGGTAACAACAATCCTAATTAAACCATCCTTTTCTGGATCTTTTCAAAAAAGATATTCTCCCATGTTATGATTACCTAAAGGAAAAAAAAAGTATTCAAGAGAATAGACAAGTTGGTTAAAGAAAATATATGTTAGCTTGAACCTCTCTCTAAATTTCACATTGAATGAGATTCAGTCCACAGGTTTTGAGGAGAATCCCACCAAGATGTTCTTCCCAGTATTTTCAACTTTTTATTTCTTATGATCTGCAATATAAGATCTAAAATTCTGTGAAAGGGGCTCTTATGTAAATTATGCACGTTAGTATAAATGAAGTCAGGGCAGCCAGAAAAATGATGTGGCTTAATACACAGCTGAGAAAACACATAAATGTATAAAGAACATTTTGCTAGTTCAAACTTCTCTAAAATGAATAAGTTTTAATATGGATTTATTTCTTGTTAACGTCCAAGAAAGGAGTTTTATTCGTCATATGGGTCCAATATTGTGGCATGGCACATTAGTTAAATGCTGTTGATTTGGAAAACTAAAGCATAATGAGTTAGCCCTGCGACCAGATTCCCGAGCGCATGTCCACATATTGTAGCCATCTGATGAAAATCAGTCCTTCACCCTGAGAATTTAATGAATGGATCTCTGAAAATCCACTAAAAATAGCACCTGCTGTCACTGAGGAGAGGGGGACAGTCAAGACTCTGAAACCGCAGGTGAGAGGTCTGTATCATTGCGGTCATGGTCGTCTCAAAAGAATATTCAGAAAGAAGCCAAAAACCAATTCCCTATGTACAGTGTGACAGTTGAAATTCTTTGAATTGTTCTTCAAAGCCCAACACATGGCAGTTTCTCTTAGCCCAGGTGAGTTGTATGGGAGAGAAGAGTTATCTGCTGCCTGGGGAATTTGTAAGGATTTTCCCTTCTAAGCTCAGGCATAGACAAACATTAAGAGCCACAACTGTTGTACCCCAGAAGTGCATTAATGTACATAGTTACCATTCAATAAAAAAAAAAAAAAAAAAAGAGCCACAACTGTTACCTAAAAGGTGTGGTACACAGCTGAGTTAGCAAACCTAAAAGCGATCACATCTCTTCAAAACAGCTGAATTGTATAGAGATGTTGAAATATTGTCTGAAATGTGAATTGATATCCAAATGGTGCTGACAATTAAGACAAATACCTGTCCTACATTACATGCAAACTCCATCCTGAAGATAAAAATGGATCCACTATTGATTTGTACTGAGGGCAACCCCTCTATAGCAAGAAATTTCTTTATAAAGACAAAACCTACTATGATCTCCAGTGTACATTATGAGTAAACTAAGGCCCAGAAAATTATAGGTCACCCAAGGTCATCCAGCTACCAAGGTCAGGGATTAGAATTGAAGACAGACAGTCTGGTTCCAGAACACACGTGTTTCACCATGAGGCCATACTGCCTGTTAACACTTCTGTGACGCTGAGACAGCTGAACTATTATATTACAGCGTGCATGTAAATCCACCCTACCCGGTCTGTTCTGCCTGGAGATACCTGCTGGTAACAAGCAGTCATTTGCAAAAGCTGTTTTCAGTAAAACACACATTTTATCTTGACACTGCAGGCCTTCATTAAACTGTGCACAGAAACTTGTTTTGAAATAACTAAATGAAATTCTGCCCCTTTTCTCCCTAATTGCTTCTAATAATAAAGTTAGTTCTAACTGGCCCCACTGCCACTGCAGCATCTGATGGTAATGAGCAGTTCTTGGCAGAAGGCATTGTGACTTAAATACCTACCGTTTATCTTGCTGTTGCAGGCCACCTTCCCCTCCCCACCTCAGACAGGGGAACTTATTTGGAAGTTACTAAATGAACCTCTGTTTGCTCCCTTCATTAATTACTCTTTGCTCTTGCAAGTTAGCTTTCTCCTTTGTTAAATGGCCTAAGGAGCCCAATTAAAACGCTGTCTTGTGATTTTTATTCTGTGGAAGGTTCAGCCTGTACCCAGATTTGTGATGACCTGCATAAGCCAGGAGGTAGTTGGGAAGTCTCTGTCATCGCGGATCTGACAGTACAAGTGCACCCTGAGCCCAAGGCCCAAAGCCACTTGGGAGCCAGTGACCGATGTTATGGAGAGATTTAACAGAGCCTTGGAGCCTGTGGTTCTCTCATCTGCTCTCCCAGCGTCCCTCTTCACCTCATTCCCACCTCACCCTTTTCCTGTCCAGTTGCTTTTTCACCTGAAGTAGCAGGAAGAAAGGGGAAGGCATTTCTTGATTCTCAAACAAGAACTTGAATTGAATTTCACTATAAAAATAATGTTATACATAGTGGTTAGTTGTTACTGAAATCCATAGCTCCATACTTTGAGAATGTTGTGGGTTCTGTGGGCTGACCTGGGGGACTCTAAATTCTCAATTCCCAGCAGCCAGTGTCAAAGCAGGCATTTGAACTAGCCTGGCTCTAATTAGGAAAGTGTCTACAGTCTCCTTCATAAAGGGAGGTAGTGCACGTAGTTTAAACAAATCACCCCTCCAAGGGCTAAAGCTTGAAATTTCATTATTTAGATTAAGCCTTGAGTTCTTGAAATAATACTCATCCCCATGGTGTATGAAAAATGTGTGTGCATGAGAGAGAGAGAGAGAATTGAAAGTATGTTAGAACACCAGCTAATTTAGAATTGGAGTGGAGAAGAGAGAAGAAAAGGAAGGAAAGATTGCAGGTTGTCACACAAGACTGCATGGGGACATCCCCTTGGAGAGAAGGGTAGCTCTCTGACGAAGTTCCAAGTAGGGACACTTAGTGGTCAAATGTCTGGGGTCAGAGCCCAACTCTAGCCTGTATGACAGTGAGCAAATTACTTGACCCCTTAAAGCTTCATTTCTTCTTTTTGGATTATGGGGAAGGGGTACTGTGGGTATTAATTGAGACAAGGATGCTGTAAGGTGGCTCAGTGAGTCTCAATTATTACTGTTTGGTAAAGAGGTTGGAGGCTTTATTTTCACATTAGTTTCTCCAAAAGCTGGCTTCCAAATGATTCAATTTTTATTCCCATAGGAAAAGAGTTTGTTTCTCTGATTAAGAGCAAATCCTGACTGATCTCAGAGTCAACTGCTTATAGTTAATTCTGTCCACAGTTCTTAGATAGTACAACTATGCATTTTGGTCAAGAGGAGAATGGAGCTCAGATGATGGGATAGGATTCTTTTTTTTTTTTTTTTTTTGATAGGATTCTTTTGTACTTAGTCTCCCCCAGGGTAGAAAGAATGGAGATTCTGGCACAGGGAACTTGTTCATCATTCTAAGAATAGACCAAAACAGAATATTCTGGCTGCTACTTTTACTGTACCCATATCTTAAAGTAAAACAATATAAGATCCATGGTGATCTTAGACATGAGTTACATGTGGTGATAATTATCACCGAAGATAATCCATTCTTGACACCATATTTCCTTTTAGTTCACTTTTGCATTTCTCCCCCCATTTTCTTATTTATTTTACAATGCTAGGGAATTCTCCCCTAAGAACTCTTTTCTCTTTTCAACCTTTATGTTGCTTCAGCCTGGTTCACTTCACTCTCCAGCTGTCACTCAGGCCTGAGGTTTATATATACATTTTGTACCTTTCCAGAGATAGAATAGCTCACAGAGACGAAAAGCTGCTGGGTCCTTAGGATGTGTTAGAAGTTTGGCCTCCTTTTAGAGAACTAACCATCCTTAGCATTTGCATGGCGAAGTAAGCCATTATAAATGTGGAGAGGGACTTTGATCATAAGTTGGTCGTTCAGAAACTCAAGTTCTTTGATTTTTCAAATGCCGTTACTCGCCCTTAAGTGTGGCCTTGAGAGAATCCCAAACTTAACCAAGAAGACAGTGGTGCATACATTCAGCGACCAGCCCTGAAGAGAAAAGCATAAGCTGTATATTTCATATGAGTTTTGTTCTGGTAGATAAAGAAATAAAAATAAATAAGGCTAAAAACTGGAGATTATGAAAGTAAAGTATGATTGATGCCTGAAACGCCCAGATCAATTTAAAGCCATTGTAGAATGGACTGTGTGATATGAGATACTGTTAGTGGGTTTTACTCCACAGTTTCCATCTTCATTGCCAAATCCTCTCAAGTTCTGCGTGGTTCATTGATTCTGTAGGGAGTCATTCTCATGCCCTAGAATGTGGTCTTTAATTGTTTCCATGTTTCATAACATGCCAATAAGCACATGAATTGGTCTGGGCAACCACATGGAGGGAAGAAAACGTTTTGGAAAAAATGAAGCACTGGTAGGCAGAGTAAAATGTATACAGCTGGGATTTCCACTCTCAGGATGTTATTTGTGGGCAGCTCCAGCACACAGCTGGCAGCCTCACTTGAAAAATCGGAGTTTCTAAGGTAGGATTTGCCAAGGTAATTCCTGCCCAGGAAGTTCTGTTAGTTAGGGGGTGGCTGTTCACTACTTTTTTTCCTTCATCTGTCTGCTTTTGTCTGTTTTTTCTTCTGCTTTGTCTGCCATTTTGAGGTACACAAGACAGAGGGAATGTGCAAACGTGATGCTTGAAAAGTTCTTGAGTAGCCTTGATTATTGTTAGGAGCTAAAGTGGCTTAACTGAGTTTAGGGGATGTCTTGATTTCACTTGATTTCACTGCCTCACTTGTCTTCCACCTCCCTTCATTGTCTTCCCATAGTTGAGATTCATTGTTGCTGACACTGTCATACAAACTTTATAGTGGGAGGTGATGTACTTCGAGAGCTATGACTGTGTTTGTACTTAATACTATAAGTGTTGGGGACTGGAAATTTTGGCATTCCAATAAAGGAGATGTGATTTCTATTGTCATCCAATGTGGGCCACATTTGGTTAATCATGAAAATGTGGGGCAGGAAGCAAAGAATT